GCTTGGACCTCAGCTTGCATGAACAGACTTTCATCCCCAGCTTAGTCAGGGAGACAGCTTCGGAAGAATCTTCTTGATCAGCTCGTCTGAGGTGGCATGGCATTTTATCTAGGTGACAGCTTGGTCACTTGGACATCACAGAAGCAGAAGACGGTGGCATTATCATCCTGCGAGGCAGAATTTATGGCGGCAACTGCAGCAGCATGCCAAGGCTTGTGGTTGAGGAGTTTAATCAGCGAGGTGATTGGGAGTGAGCCCAAGCCGATCACACTCTTCGTCGACAACAAGTCCGCGATTGCCTTGATGAAGAATCCAGTTTTCCATGGAAGAAGCAAGCATATCGACACACGTTTTCACTTCATTCGTGAGTGTGTTGAGCGAGGACAGATTAAAGTGGAGTTCGTGAGCACGAGCGAGCAGCGAGCGGATATTCTCACGAAGGCACTAGCAAGGGTGAAGTTCATCGAGATGCGGGAGTTGCTAGGATTAAGGGACTTGGAATCTCGTCCAGATTAAGGGGGAGAATGTGAGTTTGTTAATCAGTCCGGATTGGTAGTTTGAATCCAAGTTATTAGATAGAGTTCTAATTATGGTAGAATACTAGTTAGTAGATAGTTTTTCTAGTTATTGGATAAGAATTCAAGTTGTAATCTTATCTATATATATGTGTAAATATTCTTCATGAATAGAAGAAAAAAAAACTGGGAACTCCTTCACCGAAAGTTTTCTGCTCCTCTGTCTTCATCTGTGTTTTTTATTCGTCAGCGAAACAGAGACTAAAAAATTCCTGCAGTAAAGTCCCGTGTGTTTTGGGCCGATCCTATTACAGGCTTGATACTTGGGCCGATCCTATTACAAAGCCAACATTTTCGGCCAAGAGTCAGAAGGAAGCGGAAGGGGAGGATGGATAAATTTGGTTTAATTTGGAGGAGAGGATGATGAACATTTAATTTGCATACGATTGGCTAAAGATAGCAAATATATATTGCCTTATATTTCACGATAGGATTTAACAAACAGTGAGTGGAGAGGATCCAAATCCATATATATATGCATGAATCGGCGTCTAAGAAAGAATTAATATTGTTAAGAGAAACTAGATAGGATGAGATACATTAGTTATAAGATAGACCACGTATATGAATACAATAACGGAAGAAGACTTCACAATCCTAGTAAAGGAACACACCATCCCCCAACTCTCATTTATGCAAATTAAATGTTGTCACCTAAAGTACCGTAGGGTTCATGGTCAATCACGTATAAGCTAGGGATATGCAGAAACGAGAGAAAGAGAACTAACTTGGCGATTGAAACAATATTGATTTAGGTTGCCTAATCACAAAGGCGTACTGCCTCAATCACGTCTGGAGAAGGAGCTTGCTAGCCTAGGTGAAGGATTTATTTCTTCAATTATATACGAGATCGATGGTTTATATTTAAATTTGTTCTAAATGAAAATAGCATTTGAACCTGTAGAAACGGGAACGACGACAACGAAGTTCAGGCAAATTGACGAAGGGGACATTTTGGAGGCCGTACGGTCGATCGCGATGATTTTGACGGTCGACCGGAAACGTGCACGAGTACAGTGTGTGTTTTTGCACTTTGGCCGGTCGACCGCCGCGGCCGACCGTCAAACCCTGTAATCGATTTTTGGTTTCTATCGTTTGCCACGGTCGACCGCGACTTTGTCGGTGGTCAACTGCGAGTCGGGTTTGGGCCTGAGCTTGGTTTCCTATTCTGTTTGGGCTCTGTTTTGATATATATTGAAACACGATTTTAGGGTTTTGTATTGATTAGAATTTGTTCTGAATTGAGAGGGATAATGGGTGATTTTGAGCTTTCTTGTGAGAGCAAATTAGTGAGAGTTGAGAGCTTTGTTTGAGAGATTAATTAGTTTGAGGGTTTGTGAGTGATTTGTAATCTCTATTTTGTGTTCTCTCTATATAATAGTGAAAACCCCTCCCATTCTTGCCCAGTGGACGTAGGCAACTTACCGAACCACATAAATCTCCTGTTTTGAGTTTGTGCTGTTATTTTTAATTTAATTCTGTGTGTGCCTTCTCTCTCTCGACAACTTTGTGGATTCCGCTGCGCCGCCGCACTACAAGTGATATCAGAGCTTCAGGCTACACTTGGAGTTTGGTGGAGGAGTAGATCTCTTTGGAAGCTCTTCTAGGTTTTAATTGGAAATAAATGTGGGATCTTTTTGGTAAAAATCTACCTTTTATCAGTTTGGGTTTATTCTTCAGTTTGTTCCGTATTAGTTTGTTGGTGCTTTGAGGAAGATGGCTGGGAAAAAAGATGCATCGGGTGTTGAGAGTGGTACTTATGGCGTGAAGACCATTCAAAGTTTGAATATCCACTCTACAAAGATAGATGTGGAGAAGTTTAATGACACAAACAACTTTAGTTTATGGAGATGCGAGGTTTTGGATGCGCTGAACGCGCAAAATTTGGAGGATACTTTGGAATTGGATGGCAAGCCGGATGATATTGAAGAAAATGTTTGGAAAAAGATGAATCGGACGACGTGTAACGTCATTAGGTCTTGTTTAACACATGATCTAAAATATGATGTGATCAATGAGACTTCTGCAAAGAAGATTTGGGAGATTCTTGAAAGAAAATATTTAACAAAGAGTGTTAAAAATCGCTTGCATTTGAAGAGGAGACTTTACCGTTTCCAGTTGAAGAAGAGAATTTCAATTGGTGATCACATGAACAGCTACACGAAACTTCTTGCGAATTTGACGAACATGAATGTTATGATCGAGGATGAGGATAATGCATTGTTGTTGTTGAGTTCTTTACCAGATGAGGAATATGAGACCTTCATTTTTACCCTAATCAATGGGAAGACGTCCCTTTTGTATAGTAAGGTTACCACTGCTCTTGTGAATTATCAGCTAAGGAAGAAAGACAAGGAGTCTTCAAACGACACAATAGCAGATGCATTGACTGTAAAATGGAAAAGTCCAAACAGGAAGAATTGAAAGTCGCAGTCTAGAGTATGGCATCTTACAGTTGGCAAAGTTCAGTGTGCTTAGTATAAGGAGACTGGTCATTAGAAGAAAGATTGTCTAAAGCTCAGCGAATATATGAAGAACAAGCAGAAGGGAAAAGGAAAATAACCATCATCAGAAGCAAACATCATCAAATCGGATGGTAATATTTTTGACCCATCTGTTTTTTTGCTCTCTATCAGTCCTACATGTTGATATTCGAAGGAATCTGAGTGGATGTTGGATAGTGGTGCAACCTATCATGTGTGCCCTAAAAGAAAATGGTTCTCCAGTTTTGAGAAGCTGGATAGTGGTGTGGTGTAAATGGATGATAACTGTGTATGCCAGATCATTGGGATAAGTAAAATTTGCATCAAGATGTATGATGAGATAGTTAGAGAGTTACATAGTGTGAGATATGTTCCTTCCTTGAGGAAAAACCTAATCTCGATTGGAGCTTTAGCTGGAGAGGATCCGAAAGTTTGTATTGAGGATGTGGCTCTCGAAATTGTAAGAAACTCTCGTATTGTGATGAAGGGCGTCAGAAGGAGTAACGTGTACTACTTATTATTATTCCATCGATCTTCTTGTAAAAAGGATATCCTACTTGCACTACTGACATAACCCCAAACTAGTTTATGGTCCAAAATTATATCTTTTTTCTTTCACGGAGCGTCATGACTCTATGATTCATGCCCGCTCGTCACCGCTAGCCCCACTACTCCCACGGAGATTATGAAATTTTAATTTTTTTTCTAGTTGAAGGGCTAAAATAAGTAGGGGTGAGCACGGTTCGGTTCAAACCGAAAAAACCGACCGAACCAACCCGAACCGATCCGAAAAAAACGGTTTTATGAGTAAGGCGGTTCGAGTCGAGTTGACAATTTTTCAAACCGACCCGAACCGAACCAACCGAATATATTTGTGCCTTTGATTTGTGGGTTTATTGCTGTCTTCGATCACCATGAATAGCAGTTGCAGGGAATTGATTCATACATAACCAATGTTCTGATGAGTCAGCTCCTTTTTTTTGCCTCCACAAAGACCAAAGTCAAAGCTTGCTACACAAAGACAAAGCAAGTCTGTTACTAAAAAATTACAACGTCAGATTCTAGTATTTAATCCAAAAGGACAGGTTACTTCACTTAAAAATAGTATACATACATGAGCAAGAATAATAAATTGAAATGAAGTTAAAAAACAAACACATGCTGGCATAGGGTAATAATAATATATAAAAGATAAATTGAAGTGAAGTTATACTTGATGAAGTTAGAACCGAACAAACCGAACCGAACCGCACTGAACCGATTTGTAATGGTTCGGTTCGGTTTTGAATTGTAGATGGTTCGGTTCGGTTGTTCAAATTTTGGTAAAAACCGACCCGAACCGAACTGTGCTCACCCCTAAAAATAAGTACCTGTTAAGAAGACGAGACGCTTGTTCACATTGTTAAACACATTTATTGTGGAGATGCATGGTTAATTCAAATTGCAAGTAGGAATCGGGTATTACACAGTACACGGAATTGAATTTGAATAAATATAAGTAAATAAATAAAAAGTAAAAGTAAAAGTAAAGTAAACAGAGGAAAGCAAAGCAAAGCAAAGTGAGAAAGAAGAAGAGACAAGGAAGAAGAAGGCGACAAGTAGGGTGGGGGGGGTGGAGGAGGAGAGCAGGCGAGCACCTGATTCCGACGTGGAAAATGCCGAGCCCAGACAAAAATAAAATAAAATAAAAATAAAAAATAAAAACTACCGAGTCAGGGACCTTTCCGTGCCCATTCATCAGCTATATACTGCTGCTCCTCCCTCGCTAGCTAGCTATATCCCATCTTTTCTTCTCCTTTATATCTTTTTCCTTTAATAATAGTGAATAGTAATAATATATAATAAAAAAAAATTACAGAAAAGAGAGGAGGCCGGTGCTATATGCGAATCCGAATCATCTTCCATTTCCTGGGACCCTCCTTTCCGAAACTGCCCCCACTTCCATCGCCATCGGATCCCCCCTTCTTCCCCTCCTCCTCTGGGGATTTTTCTCGAAATTAGAGCGCAACACTGAGGGCACTTGTGCGAGAGCCATCGCTAGCTGTCCCTCTTCACTATACCTGACTCCCTTTTGGCCGTGTATCTTTCTTTCTTTTTCTTTCTTTCTTTCTTTCTTTGAAGTTGATTTAATAATAAGTGGATGGAGGAGGTGGAGGACAACAACAACGACGAAGAGAGATGAGATCGGACTGGGATCTTGACGACTTCTGGAGGCCCGTCGTCGACTCCGACGAGGGGAGCCGAGCTCGAGGATCTTCTCCTCGCTTCCCCGCTCAAAGCTAGGGTTTGTGCCGACTCCGATGACGGAGCAGCAACAGGAGGAGGAGGACGAGGCATCTCCTTCGCTGATGTTTACGCCTTGGGATTCATCGCCAGCCATGATCATGATGGGGTAAATAAATAAATAGAAAGCCCTCTTCCCTTATCTTCGTTTGTCTTTTAGTCCACTGTAGCATGATCAATTGACATAACTACCCCCTAGACGGAATCCGTCCGTCTTTCGCGGGCTCAGCAGCTCAGGTCATGAAACAACTTAGACGTATATTAATCTTCTGCCGGTCATTACTGGTGTGTTGGAACTTTTACATCCCCTTTATCTGGGCTTTGAGGCCCAAATCATCTGCTACTTTCAATTTTGGACATGTATATATATAAAATTTCCAAATTCAAGGAAGTTGAAATTGTTTCAAATGTGAGAACAAATTCACATGGGTAGTGAGTGGATAGAGATGCGATACATCCCTACCAAACACAAAATTTATGCTTGGTACCAAGCATATCCATATTTCTCATATATGAGAAAAAATGGTAGTGCTGGTACAAGCACAAATTTTGTGCTTGGTATGGATGTGTCACATCTTCATCCACTCACAACTCCATGGTAATGTGCGTCCCATATGTTGAATGAGTGGAAGCGGATGTGACACATCACTACGCAAGCACAACTTTTTGTGGCTTGTACACAGGATACACATATTGCTCTATCTCTCTCTTCTCTCTCTCTTCTTTAGCTATATTATATATATCTATATATATATAATATATACTATAATATATATATATATATATATATATATAAATATATATATAATATAATATAAGCAATATATATATATATAGCAAGACTCCTATCAACTTAAGTTGATGTCCACCAAAGTTCCTAGCCACACATTTATTAATATAAAACACCTTTTTATATAATACAAGGATCCCTAGGCAATATGAGTGGTTAAAAACTTTGGTGGACACACTATTGTAGTAATGAACGGATTAACAGATCGCATGAAATTGCGTTACATGCAGTACTGATGTACATTTGTGGTGTTTACCTTTGCTAAATCAACTCATCCAAAGACTCCGAGTGTCTTCATCTTTTTATTCTAATTATCTTTTTGGGTTCCTTATAATTTATTTATTGCTTTCATATTAAGATGGCTCATGTTCAATTTATATAATTAAGAAAAACTAAATTAATTTTGAATTGATTTGTTTCTTGCAGATTAAATTTCATTTCAAGAAAGTATATTAGCCACTAGTAACTTCACATAAAAATGATTAGTGCCCGTCATATTGGTGCAGTTTTACCTACTTTTTTCTTTAGGCAAGTTATAATTTATTTTCTGATGCAACAGTTTTGCACATGACTTACAAGTTAAATTTTTTTTCTCCTCCTGAAAAATGGATTCCAGTTGCACCAATACTATTTGTTTTAGTGTTAGTAGCGCACAGTTCTTGCAGTAAGTGTTCACATTATTTTTCTGTAGAAGGGAGTCGGGGAAAGGCAAAGAAAAGGGAATATATGCAGGGTGAGTTGAATTAGGGCCAGTTTGGTATTGCTTTCTTTAGCGTGCTTCTATTTTTTTTATTTAGAAGCAGACTATATTGATGTTTGCTGAAATTTTTTTGACATGCTTATCAAAATTGTTTATGCTTTTAAAGGGGTGCTTGTAGAGGTTCTTTTTAGTTTATATGCCAAATATGATATATATCTTTTGATAATAATCTTTAAGCAAAGTTTTACCAAACAACTTTGCTGTTTTTCAAAGCAGCTTTTAATATACGATCACCAAACAACCATTTTTAACAGATTATATAAGTTGCTTTTATAATCTACTTACATAAGCAACTTATTATAAGCTCTAGCAATACCACACTGGCCCTTAATACTATACACACACATAATAGGTATGAAGAAGAGGAATTGTGATAAAAAAGGTTACGAGTTTATGGAATCTCTCTCCAATAAACGAATACTAATTTCCTCGTGTGATGGTGCGCATTTTATATGAACTTAACATGTTTCTCTTTCTTCCCCCCTTTTGTATGAAATATCATAGGATGATATGCTGGGCAGCCATGAAAGTGGTGGTCAAACGACAGGAACAACCCAGATATGGTCTCAGAATCACACTACAACAACTCCCCGCAAGCATTCTAGCATCTCAGCAAACCTCGAATCTCAGTCTTCCTTGTGTAGTATGCCCTCAATTCCTCCACTCTTTATGTAGTTTGTTTCTTTACACCATCATTCAAAGCTAATAAAACCTCAGTCACAAATAGGCACCTCCTAGTTTTGATTTCTTTCTTTAGAACTCTGCTAATTAATTACTTGACATGGTAGCTAGTAAGGCATCAGATATGTAATTAATTTCCAGTACTAATCTGACATTGTGGCAGCTGGGAGCCCAACTTCATCTCTAAAGCCTAAAGGTCATGTAGAAATCCAGACACCTGCAGCAGGAGGAGGAGGCACCAGTGGTTCGGAACAATCAGATGACGAGTATTCCTTGGAGATAGATGCTGGCTCATGTGACAACCCTAATGTTACTGATTTGAAACGCATGAGAAGGTGCTCCAGAAGATCTTATATTATATTTCCCATTGTAGAGTGCATAAATTTTAATTTTGTTTTCCCTTCTTCATTTACTTCTCAAGGATGGTGTCTAATCGTGAATCTGCAAGAAGGTCGAGAAAGAGAAAGCAGGCACATCTAGCTGATCTTGAGCTGCAGGTATATATCCTAGCTGTTTAATAGCGCTGTTACATGATCTGAGATATCATGTTTAAGAGCATGACAGCAATAAGGGTTTGTGTGAGTGAACAGGTTGATCAGCTAAGGGGAGAAAACGCTTCGTTATATAAACAGCTGACAGATGCGAATCATGAATTTGGTGATGCAGTCACTGACAACAGGGTGCTCAAATCGGACGTGGAAGCTCTGAGGGTAAAGGTACGTACTCCTGAAAGATATTTGAAGGTGTCGGATCACAAATGCCAGTAATTTACTTGTTTTAGAAATTTACTTCTCTTAGTTTGTGGGAATTTGTGGTTATTTCAGGTGAAGATGGCAGAGGACCTGGTAACGAGAGGGTCGCTAACATGTAGCCTAGACCATCTCCTCCAAACCCAAATAGCAGTGCCTCCAAACCCACCTGCTCTCACAAATCTGCACTCGTCACCAGTAACTGGGCAGGTTCAAGCTATGGGACTGAACCAGAGCTCCCCACTGCAGAGCATTACAACAAGCTTGGACAACATAGAGAGTAGACTTTCAACCGAGATCACCAGTTGCGCTTGGTCCTGGGACTCCCATACAACACCTAATGTTAATATGTCCAAGCAATTCTAGAACACAACATGTCCAATAAGATGATATTTTTGGTGACTTGGTATTTATTGCTAGTGTGCTAAAGATCGTCTGTATGAAGAATCGTATCTGGGGCTCTAGCTCCTTAATTAGAAGTGATAATTACAAAAAGGCTGGAACAGTTGGGGTTGTAAGGCAGCTTATTATTACTACTGCATCTGGAAGATACTAGTCTAATTATGAATTGATGATATTGCTGATT